TAGGGCTCTGAAGACCACAGGTGCACTGTTGTTAGCTATCAGCTGATGTCTAATCGTTAACATGTACGATGCTCCTCTTTCTTGAGCATTTACTACGCGTCCTTACGACATACTCTGCTCGGATGCTTCACACACATTTACTTTCCATCCCCATTTTACATAGGAGCACACAGGTTCCGAGGAGGTGAGGGAGGTGGTGTGGCCAACATCATGTAGCCAGTGAGGTGTATGGTCAGGATTTGAACCTCGTCTCCAAACCCTGGGTGCACGGGGAGCCTTCCATTTTAAGGCTTGCTCGACGGAGTATGTTGGTTTTGTGCTGCTATGTAACAGATTGCTATAAACCCAGCTGCGTAGCACAATCCCCATTTATGAGCTCCCAGTGCTGGAGGGCAGAAGTTGGTGTGACTGGGGTCTCTCCTGAGGGCATTATAAGGCTTGATTCAAGGTATCCATCAGGCTGAGTTCTCATCCAGAGGGTCTGGGGACAAATCCACTTTCAGGATCACTCCTGGGGGGGTCATTTGGCTCCAGGTGGCTATAGGACTGAGGTCCCTGCTTCCTGCCTAGCTGCCAGGTGGAGCCACTTTCAGCTTCTAGAGGCCCTCCATAGTCCTTGCCACACGGCCCCCCATCTTCAAAGCCATCAATGGAGACTCTCCCTCACACGGAATCCCTCTCCTACTTCAAGCCTCTTTGGACTGGAAGAGCCAGTCCTGTTTAAGGGCTCACCTGATCAGGTCAGGCCCATCCAGGATAGTCTCCCTTCTGCCACAGAAGGTGACACAATCACGGGAGGCATACCCCCTTGTATTCACAGGTTCCACCCCCACTCCAAGGAGAAAGATCACTGGTCACTGGGGTCATCTTAATATTCTGCCTGCCCACAGACGATCTCAGGTTTTAATAACAAAGATCATGATAGCTACAGTAATACTGGTACATGCTTTCATCAGGTAAAGCTTCATGGTTTTCAGGCTGGAATCCCGCTGGAGCCCAGCAGCCATGCGGTGGGATAAGTGCTTTATCCCCTTTATCTGGGTAGAAGAACACCTACCTAGCCCAGCAAAGGCAGAAGTCCAGATTTCTGACCCCCCAGCCCAGGGCTCTTGGTGCCCACAGGACCCCTGCCTCCCCTTAGAACCCTCAGACCTCATCACCATCCTTGGAAGGGGTGAAGCATCATTTCCAGCCAGCCCAGGCTTCGGGGAGCGCCTCCCTGTCAACGCGCCACACTGGGGCATCGAAACTCCAGCTTTCACAGGAATTGCCACTGGGCTGGGCAGAGCTCACCTCATTTAGCGGGAACAACCAATAAAGTCTGAGGGGCGCAGAATCAAAACAGCATGTGCTCAGGAAGGGCCCAGCTTGGCAGCAGCCCAGCCTCACCACGGGGGGAGGCAGTTTGGCCGAGGCTGTGGTGCACAGGCCAAAAGCGGGGGGCCACCCGCTCCGGGGGGGGGGGAGGGGCAATGTGTCAGGTAGCAGTCACCACTGTCCTGTGTCAGCGGGCACCAGGCATTTGGATGCTCCCCAGTGTCAGCCCCCCGGATGCTCACATCTTCTAGACTTCCAGTACCCGCCTTTAATCTGTAAACCAAGGCCCGAGACCCCAGTGAGAAATCCAGGACCGTGGCCCCCACGATCCCTAAGGATTCTTGAGGGTTTTAACATTTAACATTTCTTCTGGATACCTTTGTGCTGACCTGTTAGTTTTTAAAAAATCTCTGCTCTTCTGAAATTGCTGTCTTTTTTCCTTGTATCCCTTTCCCTGTATGCTTGGACACTGCTCCGATTCTTTTATTTTTCCTAAGTATGGCTGACACAAGCCTGCTGGGAGATTGGACTCTAGAGCTACGTGTCGTGAGCCCGTGCGAAAGAATCTGGCTGATTTGAGCTGAGGCGGGGGGGGGTCTCCCGGAAGGTCACTGGGGGTGCGCACGGGCCTGGAAATGGACCTGAATCAAGAGCTCCACAACCCAACGTGGGCTCACAGCAGACATTCCGGTCGGGGCCCCACTGAGCCAGGATGAGTGAAATTCAGTGTGCTCCTTGTCTGCCTGCCCCCGCTTTCCTTTTCCAGGGAGGCTGTGTCTGCTTCGCCTGGTGTGGCTCTCGTGCCTGTCCGTACTGAGGGGCTCCTGGGCCAGGCCCAGCAGACCTACAGCAGATGAGCAAGAACTAAGTCCTCAAAAGGAAAATGGGTGTCATCAGGAAGAGAGAAAGTCTACAGAATTGGGGGTAACGGGAAGCCAGGGGGAGCACACTTGAAAGTAAATTTAAGAATCCCAGTCCTAAAGTTTCATTGCCTGGAGAATTTCATGTGTTGTCCCCTCCCATCCCCCAAAGCCCTCCCCTTCTCCAGCTGTCAGTCATCAGCAAGCACATTTCTGTGCTTCCTTATACTGAACTAGCGTCTTTTCTCCCACCCACCAATGCTTGCGGCCCACCTTGACACATCCAGAATCTCCTTAAACTGCTGGATTAAACCGTGTTTTCTGCCTGTTATAGGTTGAATCCCTCAAAAGATCTGTCGAAGTCCGATCCCCTTGCCCCTGTGCCTGTGATCTTATTCGGAAATAGGGTCTTTGCAGATGTCATCAAGTTAAGACGAGGTCACTAGGGTGGGCCCTAGTCCAGTGATGGTGTCCTTATAACGAGAAGGCAACACCTTGTGAAGACAGAGACCACGGGCACGAGGCCGCGTGACGCCCACAGGCAGAGATGGGAGAGGGGCAACTGCCAGCCAAGAGGCACCGAGGACTGACAGCCACCACTAGAAGCTGGGAGAGGCGAGGAGGGACCCTTTCCCAGAACTTTTAGAGGGGACATGGCCCTGCTGACACCTTGATTGATTTTGGACATCTAGCTTCCAGAAGTGTGCGACGATACATTTCTGTTGCTTTAAGCAACCTGGTTTATGGTATACTTTGCTACAGCAGCCCCAGAAAGCTGATACACTTCCTCAGGTCTCTAACCTTGGGGCGCAAAGCAGTAGACAAAGCTATACATTACAGTTTGGTTTTTCCTTTTAACAAAGAGAGAAAAAAAAAAAGAAAGCACGGTCTTGCGACTCTAAAGCAAGTCACAGAAGGCAACGTCAATGATCTCTATTTTACAGATGGAGAAACTGAGGCTGAGGATACGTGACTTGTCTAAGTCACAGAGCTAGGAAGAGGCAAAGTCTGGACTTGGACTTGGTTTTTTTTGGCCTCGAGGCTTACACTCCTCACCCTCCCTATGAATCCGTGGACGTGTAGCTCACAGATTACCGCAGAGCCCCCCACATCCTCGTTCCCAGAGGTCCCTTCCCTTATTACATGAGCTCAGAACTGAGTACTAGCCTCGTCCGTATGGGAACCACCTGTTCCCACCACATCTTCTGTAACATGAGCCTCTGCAAAGCAAGCCCTCTTTCCCTGGTGATTTTCATTACAAAATTGGAGATGCATTCCCACCAAACTCATCTCCCAGTAGGCCAAGTAAGAATGTTTGGCAAAGAAGGAATTAATTGATAAACAGCTTGTAGTACATAAACTCCAGAGTCGGCCTGGAGTGTTTTGCAACACTTTTTGGAAACTCCAGGATCACAGTTCCAGCACCAACTGTTTATCTCAGGCTGTTAAGCCACACACATATCCTGCATGCCTGGGAATCCACTGGCTTCACTCTGAACATCCAGAATGGAGCCCCTCTTCTGTGTGGGCATTTGCAGTGGCTGGTAGAGCAGGGCTGCAATACCTGGGGAGACCAGTAGGGGTCTTCTTCCAACAGGAAATGGATTGCAGGCTGAAGATTCTGGAAATTCAAGACTTTGGGTTCTAGAAAATAAAGCTATTCCTTTGGGAGGAAACCAACTCTCCTTACCATGTGGGTTAGCCATCTGACATAGAGTCACTCAGTCCTAAGGGTGGGGCAAGAAAAGTTGTAAAAAAAAATCTGACTTTTCCCACCCCCCCCCGTTCCAGGGAGACACAAGAGCTGGGGTCGGGGTGCCTGGGACAGCCTCTGTCTCTGCAGTTGGCACCAGGAGGGAAAGGCAACTGCACATCACATGTCGAAAGAAAAACCGAAACAGCAGGCTGGCTTGATTTGTCTCTTGTAAATTGTTTACCTTGGGATGACCAGATGGCTCATCTCTGGGTGAACCTTTGACCATTTCCAGTGCCGTTAACAGGCTCCATCAGCAAACAGCCCCCCTCGACCAGCCCACACGCCTGTGCAGGAGTCCCAGGGCCGGCGGGCGGGGGACCTCGGGCATTCCAGGAGGTTGACTCTGCACCACCGGGCCATGGATCCTCGTCCAGACTCAGGGGCCGGGTTAGGCAACTGCGGGGTGTTGGACGGTATGGTGCATGAACAACTTTGGTGGGTGAGCTTGAAGTGTTAATAGCCGCTGGGCTCCCCAGTTACAGCCCTAGCCCCTCACCCACCCGGGGTCCCCCAGTGAGGTCCCTGTTTAGCCTATCTCCTCGCGTCTCACTACTCAAGTGCTCAAAATGTGTTTGAATGTCAGTATTTCCCTCCTGCCCACCTCTGCACCCGCCCCGGCCCCGTGGCTGGGCGAGTGTGGTAAAACCACTTGCCCTCTCTGAGGCGCAACATTAAGCTGTAAACAGGGTGAGGGGCTGACACTTCTTCCTGTTCTGCCTTCCAGGCTGGCTGAGAATGGGTGCAAATGGGACGGACTGTGTGAAGACTTTGCAAGTCCTCCCCCCCCCCCCGCCTTTACTAGAACAAGATCCAGTTGTGATTCCATTTTTCGGGTGAGAAAGGGGCACAGCAGGCGCTCTCGCCTTCCTGGGCAGTGGGTAGGGAGCTCTTGACCGTCCCAATCTGGGCTCCATCCCGAGGCACCCCGGAACGAGGCGTCTCTTCAGAGCCTTGTGGGTACAGTTCCAGGGGTGAGATTTTAGTTCTAGGTGCGTCTAGAAGCTGCAAGCCTGGGGAGGGGTGTCAGAAACCTGATGGACGTTTTTAAATGCTATTCTGGTTTCCAGGTTGGGGCAGAGGGCCAGGTGGAGGCAGAGAGACCCGTGAAGACCAGAGAGGTGAGCGGGGCTTGGCCCTGGGGGAGGGAGATGCAAAGGAGGGGACTGATTCAGGGTGTTTCTGAGAAGCAGAGCAGACCTTGCAATCTCTTGGCCAAGACCCTCTACGGAGGAGGGAGATGCTCTTGCGGACTTTACAGCCTGGCTGGGAAGACGAAATTCTCACCCAGGGAGCTAGATTTCAGTGGTCTACAGAGTAGAAACTTAATCTTAGAGGTGCAGGAAGCAGGTTCCAAACTCTTTAAACACAGAAGGATAATGTTGACAGATCTGGTCACATAAATATTTGGAACTTCTGTTACACGCACGCACACACTCACACACACACACACATCATTAAGAACAAGACAAAAGGGGAGTGAGGGGCTGGGAGAAAACGAGAAGTCACTGAGAAAAAGCGACGTAGCTGGGACAAAAGATTATGAACTGACAAGTCTCAGAAGAGGAGACTCTAAAGATAATGAGCCTACAGAATACTCTCCATCTCATGAGGATTCAGGGAAAGGAGGGTGAAAAAGCCCACTTGCCCATACCCCACAGAACAACATGGCCGTGAGGTGGGAGGAGGAAGGGATCCAACCCGCCAAGAAGAGGAGAATCTGAACAGTGCTCAGTGAGAGCCTGGGGGTAGGGGTGGCTCCAAGGCCCAGTGACATCAGCGAAGTCCCTGCCAATTCCAGAAAGCAGGCAGTGAAGGCCTGTGGTTAAGAGGCTGAATTGGAAGCCAGGCTGCCTGGGCTGGAACTTCTAGATCCTGAGGGCCAGAACAGGACAAAGTGGGCCGTACAGCACCACCTTTTGGTGAGGCTCAAAAGAGCGTATTCAGGTCAAGCACAAGGACCCCCCCACCCGGCGCTCTGGGCCCCTGCGTCTCAGCTAGGCTGGCCAGGCTGGTGAGGCCGAGGAGAGTGGAGGATGCCCCCAGCAGGGGGAGGGAGGCCCGATGGGCTTGCTCAGTCTGTGTAGGAAAGGTGTGGGTGGGGAAGGAGCAGGAGAGGGGGTCTGTGGGTGAGAGTAACAGCATTGTTCTGGAGGAAGACACATTCAAGGGAGGGCTAGCAGAGGGCAAAGGGCAGGGTCCCTGATGACCTTCTCGAGCCCCCAGCACCTTGGCTTTCAAGGGACTCTTCCTCCAAAAGAAATATTAAATCATGCATGTTACGACTGAATTGGTATAAGGATGGATAAATTATATTAAAAAATACATGCTATTAATATGTACATGGTAACACATATACGATATCATATAATAAAACATTCTGTTTAACCTACAAGTTCATTTCTTATCTTCTGATGTTAAAAGTAATCCAACCATTTCCGGGGGAGCCCCGCGCACGAGCCTCCCCCCGCTCCCCCCGCCCCCCATGACGTCGGCCCAGGGAAGGGCGCCCCAGCCGCTCTCTGGGAATGACATTCTGGCTCAGGCCCCTGCCCGGTTAGGAGAGGCTGCTCTGAGGTCCAGTGGTGTGGGGGAGCAGGGGGGACGGTCTGTGTCCCTGATTGTGGAGAATTCGAGCAGTTCATCCAGTGCGGAGTGGCGGGCCGAGGCAGCCCACGGGTTTGAATCCAAATCCTGCCTGTGTTAAGTGGACCCAAACCAGTGTGTGTTCATCAGGGGTCAGGGTCTTTTGGATAAAATGAGTAGGCTGCCTTTGGGTGTCTCTCAGCTGCCAGGCGAGGGTCGCAAAGAAGGCGGGTCTCATGCAGAGCCCCGATGTTACAGCAAGCGCCCCGAGGCGGCCACCAAGCTCTCCTCAGCTCCAGCCCTCACTCTCAGGCCCCAGGCCCTTGTCCACATCCTGGCTGGTGTGACGGTGGGAGTGTGCAGGGGCCCGCGTGGGGGGTGGGGGTGGCAGAGGCCGCGGCCCCAGGGCCCCTTCTGAAGCTGTTGGGCTGCTGGCCCACCCCCCCACCCCCGCCACCCCGGGATTCCCACACCCTATTCATGCGAGGGGGGAAAAGCCTCAAATATTTGTAGCCAACGGAATGTAGTCTCTTCACCTCCACTACCTGCAGCCATGGAAATGATCCCTAACGCCCACAATGCTAAGTCATGAACCCTTGAGCGCAGAGTGGAAGTGCGGCCTTTGACCCAGTGGTTCCCACTGGACGCGATTCTGCCTCCCAGGGGACACATGGCCGTGTCTGCAGACACCCTCGGTTGTCACACTGTAGGGGGCCAGGCTCCTGCTACCCAGCGGCAAGAAACACACAGGACGACCCCCACGGCAAAGAATGATCTGGCCCAAAGTGTCAGCGGTGCTGAGGCTGAGACCCTCCCACACCTGCTGTGTGCGGTGAGGGCTTCTGGGTAGGGTCCCACACATGTTGCTTGGTCACGGCCGGGGTGTGGGTGAGGTGTGCACACACCGGAGGCACACTGCCCACACACGTGTTTGGGGGTGAATTATTGATGATATGATGCTGTCCCTTGCAAGTTCCGGCCACTTCAGCTCTACAAGCCTCAGTTTCCCAGTCTGCAAAATGGGGGTGGTAGCAGTGCCCACCTCAGAGGGGTGCTGTGGGGAGATGCTGTGTCCAGCTCTCAGCCCAGTGTCCAGGATACAGTAAGGGGTGCCGCTCAGTGGGCCCAGAGTGCTGCGGAGGCCAGACTTCTGGGTACCAGGGATGAAATGAGTTAATTCTTAGAACAGGGCCTGAGCACAGAGTAAGTGTTCTCAAACTGCTGGTTTTCATTAGCAACATCACTGCTCTAGGTTTTCGACATCAAACAGAGGTGCTTGGCCAGGAACAGTGACCCCTGCTTGGCCTCACCCCCACCTGCCAATGAGGTCAGCGCCAGGAGGGGTCTGTCTACACCATCCCTCCATCTCAGGTCCTCCCGGCCAGCCTCTTTTCTTTTCTTTTCTTCCTTCCTTTTTCTTTTTCTTTTTCTTTCTTTCTTCCTTTCCTTTCCTTTCCTTTCTTTTTTTTCTATCTTTCCTTCCATTCCTTTCTTTCCTTCCTTCCTACCTGAGCCGAAAGCAGGTGCTTAACTGACTGACCCACCCAGGCACCCCTCAGCCAGCCTGTTTCCAGAGCTGGCCCTCCAGCCGCAGACCAGCATGGAGGCAGCATTTGAGAGGGGATTCAGCTGCCCCTCTGGTGCTTCCCAGAGGATCAGCTTTTGTCCCCTCCATCTCTGTTATCTTGCATCCAGGCCCTGTCTTTCCTAGCCACGTGCTCCCAGCTGCACACACACTCTCACCCCCGCGGTGGCCCCAGGAGGCTCCTTCCCCAAAGAGTTGCTGTGTCCTCCAGGTGCCCCGGGCCGCACCGGGTGATGGGAGCATGTTCAATGGTGATCAGATCAGTGAGGGGGCCATTTAAATCCAAACACCCTCTGGATATTTCACAGAAATTCAGGAGTCATCTTTATCTCGTAAAAGCCCAGTGGAGTTAGCCGGGAGTGTAGATAATATTTGTGGGCCTTTAAAAAAGAAGTTTTCCTCCCTCCCTCTCTCTCTCTCTCTCTCTCTCTCTCTGTCTCTCTTTCTTGGAAAGTTTCTCCTTTGACCCCAGGTTCATCCTGAAAAGCAACATCCTCCAGGTCAGAGGGTATGTAGTCAGCCCTGCTGCTTAATCACTATGTAACCAAGGACGTGGTAACCATGATTTCTGTTTTCTTCAAATTAACATTTTTTCCCTAATTATGAGGGAATGCATGTCCATTGCAAAACATTGGTAAGGTATCGTCTCAAAAATAAAACTGAGACCATGTCGTGTATAGTTTACCTCTTGGTCTTTTTGCTCAAGATCTTACTTTGAACATCTTATATTTTCCCATGTCATTATTCCTCAAAATCATATTCCCAACTCTTACGGCCACGTATATTTCCTCTGTGTGGCTGAGCCATTTGGGCTACTGAACCTCTCCCTTGCGCTTGGCCATCTGTGGCCTCACCTAGGGTTCTCAACTGTGAAATGGTCACAGATGCGCTGTGAAGCCCGAGGAGATGACCCACCTGTCCACCCATGTGACTGGTCCCTTTGAGCCTCCGGGCCTGAGTTGGAGCGGGTCATGGACATCTTACAGGACTGCCCCGGGCAGGAAGGTCACACGAGGCTGTAGACTGTGTGATAAACTGAGGGAAGGGACCCTCTTGGATCCTGGAGTCTGACTCCCATGCCTGGTCTTGAACCATCAGTAAGTTTCCATTTGCCTTGCAGCCCTGGGACAATGAACTCTGGGGGGACAGTTAGGGCTCCCTGAGGAGCTGCTTGCTCTTCTCTTTTACTGGAAACCAGTGCTGTCTGCTCATCTGGCTCTCCATCAGGCCATCTGCAGAGATACACCTGGGTTTCCCACCGCCCCTTCCCCCTGGCTCCTGGTCCTATTTCCATGGTAGGACCCAGAAATGTGGACTGCCAAGAAGCTGGGCTCCTACCTGCTCTACTGAAACCAACTGTCCTTCAAATCCATTACTCTTCATTTAAATATGCTATCATTAAAAAAAAACAAACAAACCCACTTTATGTCATACAGAAGACAGTTTGCTCTAAATAGGAGGTTATCTTAAAAGAAATTCAACAAGAGACCTGAATAAATCTGAGCTCCTCCCTCTCCAGCCCATCACCCTGTGCCTGGGGCCAGCTCTGTGCTCGGCTGAACAGGGGGGTGACAAGGGTCAGATTGCTGGGGAGCCAGGACAGAAAGGGGCCTAAGGCAAGTGAGTCACGGTGTCTACCGTGCATCCCTCACTTGGCCCAGAGTGGCCTGCGCTTGGGGGACCCTGAACCCTAGCCCAGTGCTCCCACTTTATAGACAGGGAGACAGAGGCTCAGAGGGAAGGGAACTTATTCAAGATCACGTGCAGACCCCCTGGGCCTGCTTCACTGGCTCAGGAGAGGTGAGCAGATTCCTAGCAGCAGGCAGAGAGGCATCTGGAAGCATCCGGTAGGAGTGGGGCCCACTGGGCTGAGCGGAGAGAAGGGGAGCCCAAGTGGGCAGGTGTCAGAGCTAACGTGGCCTCTGTCCGCTGTGGGCTGGCTATGGGGTT